GGGGGGGGGGGTGAGTTGCCATCTGCCCCAACCTGAACTTCCTATTTTGATTTAAGAACACTCTCCCAAAGGTTTCAAGTGTTAGAGCAAATCTCCACTGGAGTTTTGAAATCAAATAGAAATTTCCATTGGAATTCTGATTGGTAAATTAGGAAAATTTCATAACCATCATTTAGACACACTTAAAGCATGTGCTGTTTATGTAACTTTTGGCCAAGAAGAGTAGATGGATATTACCAAAGTGGAGAGGATATTAGATTCTGTACTTCTAAAGCCAGTTGTGTTTGCAGGTCAACACAAAATGTGCTGGGGTGTTACTCTGCACAGAATAAAAATGTGCTACAGAAAGGAATGCATTAGTCCTGTGCCCTAAGATCCAGGAAGATTAAGCAACTCATCCTGCACAATATACATATGAGTAGTAGCTAGTGCATCTGTAAATAACTGTGTCACCTGGACTTCCAGGAACGACGCAGCTGTGGGACCGGTTGGTGTCATCTGTTAGACCATCCATGTGTGATCATGGCACGTAAATGGGTTCGGGAGTGACCTCCTGGTCCCAAGTCTTGGTCAAATAGTGCAGCATTTCCCCTATTTCTTTGTATCTCTACTCAACCAATATATTTTGATGGGTTGGGAGGGGGGATAGGATTTGGGGAAATGAATGGAATGGTGACAAAAATGTATTTAAAAGCATAGAATTTTGAGTATGAATATAGGGAGGGAGAAACTGTCGCCTTAGCTGTGAGTTCCTCTGGCTGTGCAGAGCCACATTTCTTTCTTCTGGCTGTCGGAGGAAAGTTTGCTTCAGGAGGTGGATGATCCAGTCGAATGCAAATATTGATCTGATTTGAAATCATAGAAACATTAGTTGGAACATAGTTGTGGCTCTCGCTGCTGTGCCTTAGAAAGGCCTGGGGGCTTTAACAAGCACTGCCTGGGCCCCATCACCAGAGGTTCAGGTTTGCTGGGTCTGCAGTGGTCCCAGGTATGGGGGTGTTTCCGAGTTCCAGGGCTCTCCTCATGTGCAGCTGGCGATGAGAGCTGATCGGCTCGTTCATGGTCTTCAGCGGGGTGCCTTGTGTTCTTGGCTCCAAATTGGACAGGTTCCAGGCCCCACTCCTATAAGAGTTGTTTGTCATGAACTCATGCTATCAACTTCATGTTCAACTGGTAATTTCTAGCTACGCGTGCAGGACTTTTCCTTTCTTTTTCTGTTTTCTTTTCCTTTTTTTGTAAGAGTGACCAGTCTCAGCAAAACTGGTCCAAAGATGGCCCTTTGCTTTATTGAATAAATACGTTGTAGGAGGGTTTATAGAAGTTTATTTAAAATCATACCAATCCTAGCAACTTAATATAAACTTAGATAAATGTGCCTGTAGAAAAGAAAAATCTCCCAAGTAGCTGGAAGCTTTTGGCCAAAGGAAGGTAGCCAGACGTAGGCATATTTACTGTATGACACGTACTCCTGGAGCCTGCTCCAAATTCTGCATCTCCTTGGAGAGCTTGTCTTCTACAGCTTCCCAGAGGACAGGACATCTCCTGTGTCCGGAGGCTCATTTATCTCTTCACCCTTCCTCACAAGCCCCTTCTTGTGTTTTTCTGGCATTGCTCCTGGCCATGTCTAATCATTCTTGCTGGTATCTGAGAGCTTACTCATTGCAGCTCTGTAGCAGTATGATTACATCCTGGAGTGTTCTAGATGGAGGCCTTGGAATGGATGGAATGGGAAAAGGTCTTTAAAATTATTTGCTCTAGTGAAAGAATGATCTTGTGAAATTTTATCGAGTAGGCAGTCATGCAGTCATGAGGGTTCCATCTGTGTTTCTTCTCTTGTGTACATGGCGACCTGGTTTGAAAGAACAGTAGGATTTCTGACCGTGGAAGATCTAGCTTCAGACACATCCCTGATTAATGTCACAGAAGACTTCTTTGACACAGTGCTGGTAAGGATGGGGGTGGATGCCTCGCTGAACAGATACCATTGGTAGTTTGCAGGAACCTTTGAGTTATTTCTAAAACTTGTATTTTTCTAAGATGTGGGTTTTACTAAAAGACTCATATTTTATTATGAGAATATGTTAAATAGAAACAAACATTAATATAGATAATCACTGTTATAGAAAGATGAGGTGTTTTATATATTCATACATACCAGTTCACCTGATTGAGAGTGATATGCTGATTTTAATAAAGTGATTGAAAGTCAAATAGGGTTTCTCTAGAAATGTTAGGATTAATGTATCAACATTATAGTTTATAATGCTTTTTAAAAGTAATGCAAGCTTTACTTTTTCTTTTTATTAGATTACTTCCAGGAGTACTAGAAAAGGTAAGTGTATTATTTACCACTAATTGGCTATTTGCTTTTTATTAATAGAATATTCTGGTACAGAGAGAATATTTGTCTAAATGATATGTAAAAGTAAAGTGGGTTTAATTGTTATATTTGGATTTATTGACCGTCTTATGGTAGTTGTGTTGTGATGTTGAAGTAGATTTTGTTGTGAAGTATGTCTCAGTTGGCCTGAGGTCCTGCCACCAGTGGCTACCTTGGTCCACTCAGGTATGGAGAGCCACTTTTGTCATTTCAAACCAGCAAAGTTTAGCTCTTACTGATTTAACTTGGTGCTGATTCAGATGCCTTTCTCTGTCTTTCAAGAGTGTAAAAGGCAAATTTTTAGAATATTTGGAAGTTAGATTGATGATTCTGTTCCATTTACTCAGCTTAAAGGTGATTTGACACCTTGAATTATGATACTATGGGTTCAAAGACACACTTAAAATATTTGAACACGTCAGAAATTGAGGCCATTTTAAAATGGATGTGGCCTCTTCCATTGTCTATCTTCTTATTTTTCTTTGAAAAGCTGTTATTAAGTCAACACTACATTCTACAATGGATGGAATCTTGTAATTGAGGAAATTCAATGCTAGAAGCTTAGGTATACATGGCGCTTAGTTAATTAATAATAATAATAAAAAAAAGTCCCCCTATTCTAAGTCAGTGGATCCAAATACTTTCAAGTCAATTTTTTTATGAACTTCATAAGTGATAGTTACCGTCTCTAAAATTGATTAATAAAATACACAATGGTAAAAACTACTTTGAATTTTGCAACATTTAAAAATAAACCTGTCTTTTATTAATTACAGCAGTGTATATCACTGCATATTTGAAAAAATATATATATGAGAAAGATCTACCTACTCAGTACAATTGTTCCTTGGTCCACTTATAGATTCCTATCTTTACAATAGCTCCATCACCCCAGATGGAGGAAACACTGCTCTAAAACGGATGACTGTTTTAGTCAGCCCTGGCTGCCATCACAAAATACCATAGGCTCAGTGGCTTAACAACAGAAATTTATTTTCTCCCAGTTCTGGAGGCTGGAAATCTGAGATCAGGGTGCCAGCATGTTGGGTTCTGGTGAGAACTCTCTGGCTTGCTGTGCCCTCATGTGGGAGACAGCAAGCCAACTCTCTGGTGTCTCATCTTATAAAGGCACTAATCTCATCATGAGGACCCCACCCTCATGACTGCATCCAACACTAATTACCTTTCCAAAGGAGCTCATTTCAAATATGATCACATTTCAAATATGTTCACATTAATAGGGTTTCAACCTATTAATTTGGGGGGAAACATGTAAATCCATAGCAATGACAGTTTGTGCTTGGAGCCCATTCTGGCCACCTTATGGCGGCTGACCTCTCTGCAAGTGTCAGATTTTCACACTTGACCGTCTGGCCTCTGACTGTCATTTTGCCACGGGTATTGTTATATCCAGGCTCTATGGAGTTGATACCTAATCTCTGTCTTTGAATGCTTTCACTGACATTCCTACCTCCTCCTGCCATTGATAGAATTATTCCTTTCTTTTTGTTCCAAGATTTATGTCATCTTATTGGAAGTGTACCATTTTACGACTCCTTTGTTTTGTGCTTTGCTATATGGGTTATATTTTCTTTCACAATTTGCTTCTCTCTAGTGATTTGAATAGCTTGTGTTCAAATTTTATTATACTGGTAGTTACTCTAATTTAATTGTCAACATCAAAATTATGGAACTTTATTTCTTCTTTATACTGTATAACAAGGAATTCAACATGTTTTTATTCCTTCTCCATATTTTATCCAGATTTATTTCATTTAATCTGGGGCTTTAGGCCTGGAGTATGTCTATGTCTATGTCTGTGTCTATGCCTATGCCTATCTGTATCTTTATGGTCCCCTGCTGTCCAACTGGGCTCTGTTAGAATCTTCCTTTCAAGTTTTTTTTTTTTTTTTTTAAATATGTCTTTATTGACTTTAGAGAGAGGAAGGGAGAGGGAGAGAGAGATAGAAACATCAATGATGAGAGAATCATTGGCCGGCTGCCTCCTACACGACCCCTACTGGGAATGGAGCCCTCAACCCGGGCACATGCCCTGACTGGGAATCAAACCCTGATATCCTGGATCATAGGTCAACGCTTCCTCTCAAGATTTTAGCTGACAGGCAAGTTGTTGCCAGAGCCCCTAGCCAAATATCTGATTTCCAGAGATTTATCTAGCAGTATTAATCTGGCTGTTTGGGCACTAAAGAGGGATCTTTAAATTTCTACTTTCTGGGTTGGGTTCCTACAATTTCATGAGTTACATGGGGGTTTAATAGCATATGATATGTGATGAATAATTCATATATCAAAATTGCACATCTGAACCTATCAGAATAATACTGTGATCTTACCATAAGTTTTCGCAGTGTACACTACTGCTATCATTTCATATCTTAACATAATATGCTCAAACAAAATAAAAATAATAGTTCACTTAATAAGCATAGAGTATTACCATATACTCTTTTAAAAGCTATGTACCGAGCCCCGCCAGGCTCGGCTCGGCGATTGAGCATTGACCTAGGATCCAGGAGATCAAGGTTGGATTCCTAGTCAAGGCACATGCCCGGGTGCAGTCTGTGTTCCTGGTCGTCGGGGGCATGCAGGAGGCAGCCGATCAATGACGACTCTCTCGTCAATGATGTTTCTATCTCTCCCTCTCCTTTCCTCTCTCTGAAATTAATAAAGACATATTAAAAACAAAAAGCTATGTACCAACATAAATACTGTTGAAGTTTCTGTGATTATGCTATTTAATAAAGGTCAACACTTTATTTAAAAATTTTCTGCTTCTGTTAGCATAAGACCTTATCAATTTTTGATTTTTATAGAATACGTAAATGTAAGAAACACATAGAAGCAACAGGACGCTGTGTGCAGGAGCTGCCCTTTGCACATGGCTCAGTCTGGACAAAAGGTGTTTTGCTTGAGCTGCGATCATCACAACAGCCCCACTTTGCATGTGCTGCTCTTGTTTTCCTTGGGGTGGGGTGGGGTGGTGGTCTGTGCAGAGCAAGTGTTTCGTGGCCTGGTGGTTTCTAGGCCTCAGAGCAGGCCATCATTTGTCTCTTGCCTGGACTAATTCTGAAATGCTTATGGCTCCCATAGTGTCCCCAGCCTTTGGCTCTTCCTGCTGCGTAAGAAGGCATTTCCTTATTCTTTCTAGAATCCATTTGATTGTTTTAAAATTACGCTTTCAGGAAAAATTCAGATGTTGGATTCCTTCATGTTTACCTTAGGATCTCTGGTGACAGAAAAAACGGTAACTCATTTGACTCAACAAGAGGTGAGTGGCAAATAGCAAAACAGATAGTAGTTGCTGTAGAAACGCATAGAAACTGACCCCTGCTTTGTTCCTTCCCCATCGATGGCTCTCTCCAACTCGGAACAGGCTCTGAAGACTCTGAACAGCATTTTGCAAGCCGTACCTTGGGAAGAGAGAAAACAGCTCTCCCTGTCAGAAGGCCCCAGACAGCTCCTGTAAGTGACCTTGTACTCCGCTGCGTGATGGTGATGTCAGGCGAAATCCCTCTGCTGTGCTCCCCAGCCTGTCCTCAGGCTGCTGCTTCCTCCCCCTTCGGGAAGCGCTTCGCACCTATAATGGGTCGAGCACCGTGCCAAGGCATGAGGGAGGGCCGATGAAAAAAGCCAGACTTGGCGAAGCTCTTCCTTTTTAGTAATACGGGCTTTTGATATTTTTTTCCGTCAAGTTTGTGACATAAAGTGCATTCTTGGGCTACAGATAATTTTTTCACTGTCAATGTGAACTAAATAAGTTACTTGTGGGAGAATGTTGAGGACAGATCCTGCTGGTAAACGGCTTGGCTTCAAATCCTGATTTTGCCATCTGTGCTCACTGCATCATCTAGAGCACAGTCTTAACCTCACTGTACCTCAGTTTGCTTGCCTGTAAAATGGAGCCAACATTAATACCTGATTGATAGTTGTATACCAGTGGAATCACGCAATCCGTTGAAAGTGATTAGCACATTCCCTGGTAGAGAGCAAATATCCAAAGGCTACCAACTATTAACTATACCAATAGGGCATGGACTTTGTATTGCTTTTCTTTTCTTTCTTTTTTTCTTCTTCAAGATTTTAATTCTTTTTTTAAAATTTATTTTTATTGTTGAAAGTGTTACAGGTATCCCATTTTTCNAAAATGCCTGTCTCTTATACACATCTAGATGTGTATAAGAGACAGGTATTACAGGTATCCCATTTTTCCCCCCAATTGATCCCCTCCACTTCACTCCCACCCCCTCCCCAGGCCTTCACCCCGTTATTGACTGTGTCCATGGGTTATGCATATATGCATATAACTTCTTTGGTTAATCTCTTCCCACCCTCCACCCCTTCCCTCTTTCCTCTGAAATATGATCGTCTCTTGCATGCGTCAATGTCTCTGAATCTAAATAGTTCGTCAGATTCTTCTGTTCATTAGCTTCTTCTTAAAGAAGACCCTTCAGCATTTCACATAGTATTGGTCTGGTGGTGATGAACTCCTTTAGCTTTTTCTTATCTGTCAAGCTCTTTATCTGACCTTTAATTCTAAATGATAGCTTTGCTGGGTAGAGCAATCTTGGTTGTAGTTCCATGTTTTTCATCACTTTGAATATTTCTTGTCACTTCCTTCTGGCCTCCAAAATTTCTGTTGAGAAATCAGCTGACAGTCCTATGGG